CATGAAACTACATTCGTTTATCCTAAGTTGATCTAAGTTCTTAACAGTATACATCTATTTATAATTAAATTTTAACGTTTTATTGCCCTTTGAATTGTGTCTAACTATTATCCGTGCCATCATATGTTGTAAATCACTCGGGGGAATGTGGATCTTGTATGTGTGCCTCTTCAAACATTTTTATTATACTATTATTATTATTACTTTTACCTAATCTTATCTCAAGAAACCTAAAAGGGTCCCTATTTTTTTATTTTAGTTACTTTTATAATTATACATAAAGAATGTACATGAAAAATAAGAAATAAAATACTTAACCAATCTTCTCTTTTCTTGCTCTCGGTTCTCAAAGAGAGTTAACACTAATTTTTTTGTACTATAGATAGTGATGCACTTAATAATTTATATTTATTTAAATAATGCACCAAAGAATGTAGACAAATTCCCTTACCTCTCAAAATGTTTCTGGCTTTCTAACTATGCAACAAGAGACATTATAAATTCATCCAAGGTTGTCGTTAACTTTCCCACGGTAACAATGTTGGTACTCTGGGTGAAATTGACATCTAACTGTTCAGAACACAATGGTATACAATTCATCATTTGCTTAATGAAAATCTTGACTTTCTATCAGCTATAGGTAACATATAATGAAACGTAAGGGAGAACTATCAAAAATTCCTAAAAAAAGAGGATGTGGCAGGAGTCTGATTTTTTTATTCAATAGCTCTGTAACCAAACAAAATTGAAGACTATAAAAATTATGATTTGTCTGAGTAATTTACATTTAATTTCGTACTTTTTTAGGGATGGTGGATAAAACAAGGATGATGACATGCTAAGAGAAAATGTGTCACGTGGGTCACAATAGTGGACATTCAGGATTTATTTTTACATTACCTTGTAGAATTAAGAACTTAAACTTATAAACTATTAAAATATGGATTATTAGCTAAGACATGAAAAAATTTATTTAACTACATTTTGTTTGTGTTATACCAGTTAGTATAGCATCAAATCTAAGCTAATAATCCATATTTTAATAGTATACAAGTTTTAAGTTCTTAATTCTACAATGCAATATAAAAAAAATCCTGAATTTCCCATGGTGTGATACACACATTTTCTCCAAGCATCTTGTCCCCTCTATTTTATCCACCACCCATTAGAAAAATATGAAATTAAAAGTAAATTACTCAGTATAAAATAGTCATTGCTCTAACAAACCATATTTTTAGTCTTCAATTTTGTTTAGTTACAGAACTATCAAATAGAAAATCAGACCCCTTCTGCCACACCCACCTGTCACATCCTCTCTTTCAGGATTTGTTAATAGTTCTCTCTTACGTTTAATTATATATTACCTATAACCAACAGAAAGCCAAGGTTTTTATCTATCAAAAGATGTATCGTAAAACATTATGTTCTGAATGGTTAAATGTTAATTTCACTCAGAGAACCAACATCGTTCCCATGAGAAAGTTAATGACTAGCTTGGATGAATTTGTCTCGACTCTTGTTGCATAGTTAAAAAGCCAGAAAACTTTTGAGAGGTAAGGGAATTTGTCTACTTTTTGTTATTAGTCTATATTATTTGGTGCATTACTGTCATTAACTCTCTTTGACAATCGATGGCAAGAAAAAAGAAGATTAGTTAAGTTTTGTATTTCTTGTTTTTCACGTTTATTCTTTATGAATAATTATAAAAATAAGTAAAATGTAAACATAGGGATCCTTTTAGGTTAGTTGAGATTAGATTAGGTAAAACAAATAATAATAATATTATAATAAAAATGTTTCATGCAGCACATGTGAGCAGCTCGTGAGTAATGTAATTCATTAGCATAATGTGAGCTGCACATTCCAAGTGATTGCAACTTATAATGATTCAGATAGTAGTAAGACATGGTTCAAAGGGCAATAAAACAATAAAATTTAATTATAAATAGATGTACACTGTTACGAACTTAGAGCTACTTAGGATAAAGTAATGTAGTTTTATGTTACAATTTGAAGTCATTCTAGAAAGAAAAAAGGGGTAAATTAGATTTAGTTAATTTTTTTTTGTGGTTACGAGGTCGGTCGAATTGACTGATTCCATTTTGAGAGAATATAACAGATAAAATATAAAGTGTTACTTTAAAAAAAACGTTTGAAATGCATTTAGGAGGTTTTAGGGATTACACAAAGGAAATTTGAGATTTTTGAAATGAGGAAAAGTATTTTTAATTTTAACATGAAAATTACTTTGCACACAGACTATTCAAACCAAATACCCAATATATTCTTGGACAAATCTTTATTTTATTAAAAATATTTCACTACAAAAGATGATTTTTTTGTATATGAAATTTTGTGGAGATATACACACACTGTATTGAAAGTTAGAAGTATTAAATCTATCAAGACTTTAAACAAGTACAAAGAGGTCACGTGGGTAAAAAATATCAATTCAACTTTAGACTTAGATTGTTTCTGAATTGAGATATTTTCTATAAAACCATCAACATCAATAAAAAGAAACCTCTTTAATAAATGGAGACTTTAATTTAAGAAATCAACAAATGTTTTACCAGTTTTGTCTATAAATTTCATTTTATACTTTCAGTACATAGACTAACAACAATATTAGGTTATACTTTTGTTGCTAAGACAACATGATATAAAAGCCATTGTTGGAAAGTAGTTTTACCAAAACCACTGACTTTTCTACATATCAGAAGTTGTTAATCTAACTGATTTTTAACAATAATTATTCTATTAATATGCCATGAATTCATTTCATGAATGATTTTAATTCTGATTGGCTCACAAAGGAATTTACCAATGTTTTACTGCACTTTTCTGCTTAAAGTTATCTATTTCAGTTAGCTATGAAATGTGAGGTTAGGGTGGGGGTGGCAATACTTGCCCCTTAACTTATGATGGGCTATACGCCAGTATCAGTCATATCCTCCACTTTTGCCCTGGAATAGCATAACCTATATTAGTCATGTGCATACTACTAATGAATCTCCTATAACAATAACATCCTTATGTTTTTCATTCCTATCATCAAGTTTATCATCTACACAAGTCAAAGGCTGAAGTTTGGTCTTTATAATAAAATCTATTACACCTAGCCCTGTTATTGTTCCTTCAAACCTCCTGAAAGTCTTCAAGCCCTTTTATCATTTGCATGCAAAAGTGAAATTTTCTCTTTAAATCCTGCTGCCACCTCCTGCAGTTTACCTTTCTTTTCCATCACATCTATTCTATTTAAACCAACCCCACATGAGGTTAAACTACTAGTCTGCAGAATAAATAAGTAGATTTTTGTTTGGTTGTTGTTAAACACAAAGCTACACACTGGGCTACCTATGCTGTGCCCACCACAAGTAAAAAAACCAGTTGTTTTTTTAGCAGTATGAGCCCTCAGACTTACCACTGAGCTACTGGAGAGGGGGGGGAGGCTTTTCTACTCTGTCCACAGCAGCAGGGAAGTGAACCCCGGACTTTAGTGTTTTTTACCACTGTCCCACTGGGAGACAAATGAGTACCTTCAATGTTAAATATTCTTCAAATCGTAGAAACTATATATGTTCACTATTGCGAGTAAAAGACAACTAGAAATATGTGCTTATAACATGAAAACTGTGAAAATTTAACTATAAGTACCTCTTCTTCCAGTTCCTGTTCCATCTCTTTTTCCTCCTCTCTTTCTACTTCACTTTCCTCTTCTTCATTCAAAGCTTTATCAAAAGCATGTTGAGGGAAGTTGTAAATGTCTCCATACTAAGACAAAAAAAAACAATTCAGACCAAAATGGTTCTTAAATAAAGTTACACAATTACAAATATTTAAAATTAGCATCAGTTATCAAAAAAAACTTTATCACAATCAGCTCTACAACATGTTTTGTATAACACCGAGTTAGAATTTCACAACACATCACAAAGAAATAAACTAACAGTACAATCCACTGTGTCAACACTGTATAAGTAAAACACCAAACTGTGAAGTTTCAATAATAAAGAACTGCTAAGAAATACATTTAGATTAATTATAATTCAAAGTCTGACTACTTTTTGTAATTTCTGGAAGTACATAAATTGTCATTCATTTATTACCTTAGCAATGGGCTAGTATTAACCAGGCTGGGTTAACTATGTCTCACTGTGACAGTGGGCCAGTTTTGCTATTACGTTTATATTTAAAAAAGTTCATATATTCACAAAATTATATCTTGACTGTTTAATAAGACCTACTGTTTCAAAAATTTATTTGATTTTCAAAGCAAATTTGGTGCCTGAAACAACCTTTCAGTACACTCAGGCCAACCCTTGCATCCCCACGTTTCAAATGGCAAGCCAAATGCTGCTAATTCCATGCACATTATATTCAAATTCACATAGATAGCATAACGTTACAAAGAAATATCCAGTAAAACTAGTTACTCTGTGCATGAAGAATCTGTTTTCACACTAATGAAAAAAGGGCTTAAATGTTATGTAGCATATTCACACACAAAGAAACATCCAGTGAAGGGAGGATGTGTTTTCACACTGATGAAAAAACAGCTTAAATGTTATGTGGCATACTAACACACAAAGAAACATCCAGTGAAGGGAGGATGTGTTTCACACTGATGAAAAAAACAGCTTAAATGTTATGTGGCATATTCACACACAAAGAAACATCTAGTGAAGGGAGGATGTGTTTTCACACTGATGAAAATACAGCTTAAATGTTATGTAACATATTCACACATAGAAACATCTAATGAAGGGAGGGTCTGTTTTCACACTAATGAAAAAGCAGCTTAAATGTTCTGTAGCATAATCACACACACACAAAACACCCAGTGAAGAGAGGATGTGTTTTCACACTAATGAAACAAATGGCTTAAATGTTATGTAGCATATTCACACACAAAGAAACATCCAGTGAAGGGAGAATGTGTTTTCACACTGATGAAAAAACAGCTTAAATATTATGTAGCATATTCACACACAAAAAAGCATCCAATGAAGGGAGGATATGTTTTCACACTAATTAAAAAACAGCTTAAATGTTATGTAGCATATTCACACACAAAGAAACATCTAGTGAAGAGAGGATCTGTTTTCACACAAATGAAAAAACAGCTAAAATGAATGGTAAATAAAAACTGTACAAGACTAGGGTGTAATTTGGTTGTAAAATAATTCAACCATTGGCCTCTCTTTACAAAACATTGATGAAATTTCCAATCATTCTTTATAAAATCTGTTTTGGAGATGGTACTGTTTGTCAGGATAATATATAACAGATTTATAAAAACAGAATCATGGCTTTGCTGTGGTGCTATAAAATGTTCTAAGCATCACATTTAAATCCAGTAGTAGTAGAATTTATAAAATGTTACCTCTGATAGTACACAAAATCTTTACATCTATTAATACATGCTTTACGAATAACATCTTTTTTTAAAGTATTAGAATATTCTATATTTTTTCTTTAAACATTTGCATAACGTTTGTCTTTATCAAAGGCAAAAAAATGTTATACAAACAGAATATCATACTGTCTACATCTTAGCCTCAGGTAAGGCCTAAAACACAGTTAACTAAAACCATTCCCAAGAGTTCAAACCACTTCTTAGGTCACAGTAGTTAAGTTACATATGTGATCAAAAATTATATTAGTTTAATATAAAATTATTTTCATGATTTATACATACATTCCAGCTCACAGTAGTTAAATTAAATACTCTATCTGTAGATATTAATTATGCTTAATACTAAAACCTTTGAGGCTAAAACAGGTACAATATTAAGTACAAAACTTAACAAATGTAAATAATTTAATGTGTCACTCTTATACAACTATTTCCACTTGTAAACACAAGTTTACTAGATACTTACAGTTCCCTTCTTTAATCTCTCTAATAACTCTTTCTCAATTGCACTTTCCAACCTTGCTGCAACCAGAGCCTTTTCTTCTCTACGTCGTTCTCTTCTTTCGATTTTTCTTTGCAGTGGAACCAACTTTTTCCTTAAAAAATTAAATTTGTTATTAGCTTCTGCTCATCAGAATTTCACAATTCATATTCTAACACAGAATAATTTTATATGTTGTAAAATCAAACAAATAATTAACTATAACTTATAATGTTAATATACACGTATTTCTCTTTTACTTTGTTGATAATTAGATAAAACAAAAGTGGAAAAAAATACTGACCTTATCATCTAGTATTCATCAAACTTTGTTTCTCCACAAATTCTTAAACTCTAAGTAATTTACCTTTTATATATTTTGCCCATAACAGATAATACAAGTAATCTAAAAAAAACATACAAAACACATAAAAATATTAATAGATCCATTATGACAGTCACAGTATTAAGTCAGTTCAATTACTACAAAACACTTATCATTCCTGACATGTAAATATTAGTGTGGAAATACATTTATATGTAGTGGATCGCAGGGACTGAAAGTGAATGGATCAAAACTGATATATAAATATAGAACAATTTCTGGGGGTGTTATGTAAATATCTGTTATTATTGTAACTATGCATTAAAATATTGGTAAAAGTACGGTCATATTATCATAATGTTACTATTTAATGTACATTTCTACACCTTTTTAATTTACTAATCTATATGTAGAATATATTTAGAGTTAAAATAAGGAATAATAATAATAAGCCTGGGAAAGGAATGTAGATGAAAAATTCATCATAGAGCTAGAGTTCAGACAAATGAATGAAATTTTAGTCCTGAAATACTGAAAATATGACCAAAATAGGCATCATAGTATAAAATGAAGTAAACTACAGAGGTTGATTATGTTATAATAAAATTATTTTGGAGCCTCACCGCATTGTAAGTCTATATCACCACATCCAGTCATGTTCTATCTGACGAATGTGCACCTTGACAATAGTTCTGAGCACAATTTCCATTGCAAAAGGCTCCTCCATAAGACTGTCATACACAAAGCACACAACTACTTCCTTCATGCTTTTCATATTCTATCTAGTATGCGAGTACAATGGTTTTCCAGCACCTATTTCAACAGTCTGATTGCATAAAAATCCAAAGACTACACCAGGCAACTTCACCAGTATGGAATATTATGAATACCCATTTTATTCTCCAGCTGCTTGAAGTATATGATGGTTGAATAGTTATATTTCATGGAACTAACTTGTGTACACTTGAGTCCCTTTTCCAGATAGATTCTTCTTCTTAATGTTGTGTACTGTTGCTTGGTGCACATGAAAGGCCTTTACGTTCATGAATTCTAACTTGCTACAAGAAACTACAATTTGCTTAGCAAAGCTGGGATACAACTTGTTGCAAGTCTTTTTGTGGATGGTCCTATATCCCAAGTTGATCCATATTCTTTTGTTTTCTAATGCCATTAAGTAGAAGGAATATCCCATCTTGGAAATTGTAAATTCCTGTTTGAAACACTTCTCCATGATCTGAGTGTATGAATATTCTAGTTTGGAAGGGGCCGTTACACATCTTTTCCAAAAGTAATCAATTTTCGGTAGCATCACACATGATGCCCCACTGCAACTTAATATTGGCTGTGGTTGTCATGAGACTTGCTGATTTGCATATAAACAATCAGTATAACATATTCTATTCTATGATTTTTTAAAAATGAAGACTTAATTAAAATATAACAGTTTAAATCCTACTAGGTAACAATCATTCCAACATACTTACTGCCTTCTAAGTCGGAGTTTGCGCATCCGAATCAGATATTGGGTTATTTTTGTGAATCTCTGCTTACATTTGTGTCGAATAAAGCGAGGCCAGTAAATGAGATGCTCATCAAGCTGTTCCATGGCTTTTTCATAGTTTTTAGACAACTTGACTTTCTCCCACAGTTGAGCTGGAAAGGCTGCACGCTCAATGGTCTTCATGTAGAGGTAACAGATGCCTAAAGAACATGACAAAGCAATTCTGATAATAACCTCACTAATTTTGAGAACCATTATTGAATTTTAACTCATAACAAGAATTAGTCAAAGTAAACTTTCTGACAAACCTTACTGTGATTCAAAAGTCAATAAGTGAAAAAAAACTTGGACTAGGGCTTGAACCTAAGACCTTTTGGCTACCAGAACCAATGCTCTATCCAAACCCCAGACCTGATGTTTCTTTTCAAAATTTCACAACCAGTGGAATATAGCTATTGCTTTGCATAAGTTATCTCAGTTTCATTTTCAAAACAGTATTCTGTATTCTACAAGGTACCTAATTCTAATTTTCACTAAAAAAAAACATATCAACTTCAGTAGTTCTAATACATATTTTCTTTGGTTAATCAGGACACACAGTAGTGTGACATGTGGTCAAAACAACCTCCAAGACACATTGTGTGTTATTAAGATGTACAATGGTTTAGCAATTTTGCACTTTCTGTAGCTCTGAACATAGTAATCCAAACTATTAGATATTTTCAGTGGATGTGCTCTACTGGACCTTTACTTCACATACCAAGTTTCAAGGCAATCCATTAAGAAATACACACAAAATATAAAATCTCCAATTTTAATTTAATTTTTTCCTATTTTTTATTTTTCTTTGCTTCGAAAGTAGAGAAACTTTATTTGATAGAAAAACATACTTAACTTTTATGGATTTTTTTCAAATTTGGTACACTGAGAGATCTTTACAATCTATAATTAAGTGTCAAATTTATTCTAAATATAAGCCACACATGCAAAGTTATTCAACAAAAACTGCTCGAATTTGTCCAAAATTTGTTTGCATGCTTATGCAAAAAAGTCACATGAGCTATCGGTCTAACATTTTTACTGCAGCTTCACCTAAGAGTAAAAGTGGACTGTTTTTAGTCTTTTGTCCTTCAGATTAAAGACGGCTGACTTAGAGTAGCAAAACTATAGGGTGAAAGAATGTGCAGATGTGTAAGTATTGGATAGGCCAAGCAAACTAGATTAGTAGTTTCTAGCACAAGTTTCAAAAGAATCATATGGATGGACAGTTATTATTCATTGCCAACTTTTATGCATAAATTTGTTAAATTTCATGAAATTCTCGAAATTACAATTTTGCATCCAATATTATTAGCTTAAGCAATTAGTACAATTAATGATGCTTGATATGGCTGTACCAAGTTCATGTGAATGATGACAAGAAACTGTTTATCTAAATTCCATGGCATTACTATAAAGGAAGTTATTAACACTGTTTTAGAGAAGAAAAACTACCACTATAAATTTTAAATAATCTGGTTGGTTCTGTAAAATAATAGGGTTTGTGATCCTAAAGCTAATGTTGGTTACTATCGAGTGTCACATCTTACTTGCTCTTTGTTGGTGTGTATTCACAAAAAAGTCATGATATCTAATCAAAAACACCTTAGGTGTGAAATAAAGGTATGGCTGACCAGATTGAGTCAACTATTCAGTAATACCTTCCATTTATCATACACCAACTTTTAACCTGATAGCATTATTGACTCACACAGTTACAATTATAATGTCTCTCAGATGAAAATGCATTGTATATTCAACAGCATATCGTGGCTCGAACCTTTGAATCAGCAGTCTGACCCACTAACAACTAGGTCACATCAAGCTTTCCTTACACCATGAAAGCAAGACATTTTTCTTTTCTGTCACTGATGATTATGCTTTAATGAAACACTTCTTCATGTACAGTTCTATCGTAAAATGCAACTTAATAAAAACTTTACAAAAAAGAAAGATAAATTATATTTGAGATTGACTTTCTTAACTTAAAACAAAGCATTTAACAACTGTCAAACTGTTAGCACAACTGCTGTTAACACTAAAATTTTATGCAAGCCCATCTTTAACAAGTCCATAACCAAGAATACTTTTGTAATAAAAACAATGCAAAAACCAAAAAACCTACAAGTCAAAAATTACTTCAGTTGTAAGTCAAAAATTTAAGCTAGTTTGGAAATTTCTAGATGCAGATTGAATGTACACTCAACTGAATTAAATCTTCAAAAAAATACCTTTTGTTAAATACAATTATACTAGCACTAAAGACAAAGTAATTTAACTTGATTCAGATAATTCAACCACAAACAGTGATACTTACATATTAACTTCATTTACCAATTATTTATTTAAATAATATAGATAACAATATTTTTTGTTAATGTTAAGTCACGTTAGTTAATGGAATTCAGAGACAAGTCAAAGGGAGATCAAAATTTGTCATGATTCAACCAATTGTATCCTTTACTTTTTTTTGTCTCATTTACTTTACCTACATATTTTTTTAGTAAAAACTTAAACATTTTGAATATGGATTAGTAATATTCCTGTAGCTTTAAAGATATGTGTAAGCAATCTCTTTACACATATTTTTACACTTAGGATACCACTGTAACAAGTGGGATAGCCTGTAACAAGTTGGTCAGGAGGTTGACAACAAAACTGGCTTGAATTATACAGTCAGTTTATTAATTACAGCATCCATATGCTCACACATATAACAAATATAATATAGAACACTTACCATTTTCTTCTCGAATTGTGGCATACAAGCTGTTAGCCAGAGGGCACGCTGAACGATTACACAAACCTGTCAGGTTGTACTCATTCCTACAGAACTGCTGGGTTTTGGTGCTGAAGATCAAAATCAAAACAACAATAACCTCAATCAATCCTTCTGTTTGTGAAGGGTACAACTTTTTTTTTCACTTGGAGCAAGAAGTTTGTTATAATACATCAACCTCTTCAATGCACTGATTAGTCTTTTTTTTTACTTAAACTCATAAACCACCATAAACTCATGAAAAGCGCTAGCAATGAAAGAGCTACAAAAAAAGCAAAGTGACTGATGACAATTCAGAGCTGAAGTAAAACTTAAAAAAAAAAAAAACACATCTGATACAAAATAAATATGGCTTCTGACTGATGAAATGATATATGCTCTGTCTGACTATAAAACTATCAGTCAACCACAACCAATACTTATTCAACATTTTAAACAGTACATAACTCTCCAAAAATTTATAGCCCTACAAGAGAAATAATCAATTCACCTTTAAAGGTGTCCCACAAGTCAGTTCTCTTATGAAAATCCCTTCTTTTCTTTGATTCTGTGCAATCATTGTTTAAAAAATGTCATTACAAAAACATTTTAATGCATGTGAAAGAGAAGGCTGGATACGTCATGTCCCTTGTAAACATTTAAAAGTTGTAGTACCCAAAGGAATATATTGTAGATGTGTCTGCTATCCACAAGGAATGAGTGGATTGCTTATAACTTTGCTTCAGTATCTCAGGAGACAATATGGAAAATCTGTGGGTGACACAACACCTTCCTATGACATCTGAATTTTCCTCATCACTCTGTCATAAGAATCAACTTTTGTGACACCCAGCAGTTCATCTACACTCCAGAAAAAAAAAAAACTCTAAACCTTTAAGTTTCTCCTCATAGCTCATATTCCTAATATCTGATAACATTTTGGCAACCTCTGTCTGCAAACTTAATTTATTCATATCTCTTCTGTAATGAGACCAAAAACACAAACTACTCGACATCAACCCAAATTTCCTATAAATGGAAATATTAACTCATTTTGCTCACTTCACTAGAGTTAAGCCACTCAGATAAATGCTGAAATTCTTATAGACATTCAAACCCAAATCCTACTCTTTATTTTCCCCTCACAGAGCTTCTCTTATACAAGATGTATTTGTACAAGCTCGTCTACCCGACGAACGTAACTTCATAATTCTTACTGGTGAAACCATATTCTGGGCTTATCCCCAAGACTTCTGAATAAGAACATTTTCAACAGAATAAGACTTTTTTAAGTATTTTAGTATGATAGAAAATTATAGGTAGAACTACTTAGAATGATTATTTGAATAAAAATAAAAACCACGAATCCAAAACACACCCTTGATCACCCCATTACTCAAAATCTTGTACACTTCACTGTGAACCAGAGTTGAGTGATAACTAGAAGTTATTAATTAACTAACCATTAATTTATCACTTTCAAGTAACTGATTAATTTTTATAGCTTCTCCTTGTTACTCTAAGTATCTTTTATTGATTATCTTTTAAGTAATTGTTTTGTTAAACTGCAAACCCATAATTACTTAGATGGTGGTTCTGTTCTTTCGTTATAATTCCATTTGTTTACAGGTTGTTTGTGATTTTTATAAATACATTTGGTACGTATGCCATTTTAATATTGTTACGACAGCGGAAGTCAAGCAACGCTGGGAGCATGTGCGCTGGAGTTTCTCAAAGGATCATGAATTATCGAGGAACCTGCGAATGTCAGAGTGTTTGCTAGGCACCCTCTTTTTTAGCATATAAGCCGGCAAGAAAAACCAGCGGCATCAAAGAGGAAGATGGAAGAGATATAGATAGATTGGATAGATAGATAATTGAGTCAAGCAAACAGTAGCCACCATAAGTAAAGTGTGTGTTATAAAGATTGTTAAGTTTAAGGTGAGTGTGGAAATTCTGTGTATTACTAAAAGTTGTATCAAGAAAGAATAAACTGTTTTAATCAAGAAAGGACTTGTATCACTGAAGTTTCTCGGAAAGAATTTATACTGGAAATTAACAACCAAGCAGATACGTAACAATATGTTAAACATCTTTGAGTACAACAATTCAGAATCACATTACTTTTTAATTTTAAATTATTGTACATGAAAATATATAGCAATCAAACCTATAACAAACTAAAAATATTATTACTGTTTCCATGGGTTTCTCCCTATAAAAAACCTTCACAAGACTACTTAAACTACTGACTTTTTGTTTCTGATATTAATTATAGAGGTGGGCAATTTATTCAATATTATTGAATACCTATGAGCAGTATTTACTTTTATTAGTGTCACAAACTAATCAATTAATAGAAATTATGATTTCCAATTGCTTATATTTTTTATTATTCCAACCAGCTAAGTAAGCAAAATATTGCCACCAACTTGCTCACCTATCTTTTGACTGGTAAAGATTCTATGGCTATCTGCCACTAATTTTGAACTGCTGACTAAAGAGACGGCAACTAGCTGGTAGCACCTGCCACCAATTGTTTTTTGTAGGTACCATGGCTTGAGAAACACTGTACTAATTAATTAACTGAATGTAATTGATTAGAGGCTATTGATAAAGCAATTAGTAAATGTCACTAATCATCCAGTTCTAATTGATAATAAATCATAAAAAACTAAATATGCTTATACTTGTAATGACATTACATTATTACTAAATTAATTAAAAATAACTGTCCTTAGATAAAACCAGTAAAAATTCTTGTCACACTGCAAGACAGATACACAATTCAGTGAAAGCAAATTCACAAAGACACCAGAAAACAAAAATAGTAAAATATTTACTAGTTCCCACAAAAGCTTATGATATTATCAGATTACCTCTTTGTAGTGATTAAAATTATCCATAAAGTGAAAACTAAAGTATTAAAAGAAATATTAAAAACTTGATAAATGTTTTTATTATGGACATTTAAAAAATATTTTGTAATTTCATCAAAATCAGCATGAAAACATGAGAAATAATCAACGTTTTTTCAGTATGAAAAAAAACCCACACGATTTTAAGTAAGAAGTTGTTAATATTGACAGAACTTTAGAAAAAACCCATTAAAATGAATAATAATTTTACAGTACATTTGGAAGGAAACTAGAACTAGCTTCAAGGAAGTGCTTAAATGGCAAGTGATAATAGCCAGACTTTTCCATTTTCAGTATTTCCTGTCAAGCTAGGAATCCTGTACATGCAAACAGATTAATAACTTAACAGTTTTAAATATTGTTAGACTGTTACTAGTCGATGTCTAACAAATTCTGACAAACACAGTTCTTTGGTCCACTAAAGAATAATGGATATTACCTCGCTGTAAATTTTTCTTTAAAGCATTCTTACTGTAAGTAACACTAATTATGTTTGTAGCTTGTAATTATTTCAGTCCTTTGGTAACTTAGGAATATCTACTAACACATTTTCTCATGAAATTATATGTTTGGCATGACTGCACCTCAATTTCATAATTCTACTTCAGTGAATTTACAATAGAAAAGTTGAAAATTACATTATACACACAGTTCAAAGTTTTACTATTTAATTTATTCTATCACAGTTATATGAAATATCTTCAATGTATTTGCAGTTTTCAAATTTAGATAAATTTTGGATTTTATGAATTACTAGCTGAATGCAGAGGAGTATGATTTTTAACTAAGTCTATTTTTAATACCTATTTACTGTCGCACTGACCTGTGAACTATCTGTTACAGTAGCTTTTAAAGCAATTAAGTAATCTCTCAGTATTAAATCCTAATAGCTTTGCATGAAGGTACACAAGGCCACTGGCAGAAACTCCTTAATAAAATTTGCAACCCTGTAGCTGGATACGCATGTAGAGAGTGGGTTGTATATCATTTAGCACTTAAACTTTAACCAAGTACAGAATGTACGTTTAGAAATATCCTGTCCCATTTAACTACTGTATGTGAGACTAATTTTACAGAGATCATTGATATAATTTTATATAAAAATTAAACTGATATACAATAAAAATGAAAGCAAAACATCTGGTGACAAATATTATGTACAACTGTTTTGTCATTGCTATCTTTTGAAAGTCAGAGAACTTGGCAGTATTTTATTCATATATTCAAACTGACAAGACAAAACTGTTACATGTCACTGTTACAAACAAGTTATCTATACTTTACCAAGAACAAAACTGTTACATCTCAATGTTACAAACAAGTTTCCTAAACTTCACCAAGAACAAATTGTTATATGTCATTGTTACATGCAAGGTTCCTACAGTTGATGAAGAGCAAAACTGATATTGTCATTCTTACATATAAGCTCACTACAATTAAAAGAGTACAAATTTCTAAATCAGAATGAATTTTAGATTTTCTAAGCTTCAAAAGCATGAGTAAAAAACATGACAAAAATTATTCACGTGTCAAACTTTTCTTATTCAGCTACATTGCAGTAAAAGTTTTATTAATAAATGAATAAAAGAAATAGCTTTTTGGTAATTATTATTTCATTCTATGAAACTTAAACAGCAGATCTCAAAAACTGATTTAGAAGCACAATTATTGGCTCAAACCTACAAAAACCACTTTATCATTATAAAAGGAAAATAGTCCATAAATATATAATATAAGCACTGTTGTCATAATATAAATAATATTAAATTGTACAGTTCCAGATCCACATGTTATTGTAATTGCTTTGGGGTATCTTCTGTAACCTAAAAATGACAGAATATTTCTACATTTTATACTACTATCTATTGAAGTTCGGTCTCACATAAGTTAATGTCATATAAAGCTTACCATTTTACAAAGGTTAAAATATTTTATATTTGTTGTTTCAATTGTGTGTGTGTGTGTGGTAGTATTCCTTCAATGGTGACTGAATAGCTAAAACCAAAATATTCACTTCTGAAACATTAAGACTTAGAACTCAAGAATCAAATGTCTAAGTTCAATATACACATAACAATTAAGTTGGCTTTAAGAAACTCCATAAACAGATAACTAAGGTAATGTTAGTTTGGCAAACCAATAACCAAACAAAGTTCCTTTTCCATAACCATTCATTCAACATTCCTGATAATCTATACACTACATCTCTTGATTCATGATATGTAGTGATGTTACCTTTAAAGTTGACATTTTAAGCTACAATATAACATTACTACTTGAAAAAAGTAGATAATATCAAGCAAAACAGTAAAGCTAATGACAAAATAACACACTGCATCACTGTCTTTTTCATATAGGTGTCCAGTAAAATGTTGGACTTGTTATAAAACTTAAGTTCTATTCCTAAGCATTTCATTATTAAAATACTTGGTTAGCCATTTGCATGTTGGTAACACAATCTATACAACAGAAAGATAAAAATTACACCTTGTCAAAGTTCTCTAGAAGATATGTAAATACCATTCAGAAGCCATTACACAAAACAACGGCTCAAAGGAGAGAAAAAATGGCATTTACAATATCTTTTGTGATTGTGAACTTCTATACATTGGAGAAATAAGACAATCAACAAAATTAGAAAATTCAGGAGCAATAGAACATGTAGAAGACTGTAATACTAATTTATTTTGCAATAGCCAATTATGCCACAGAAGACCACAAAGTAAATTGGAACAATACAAAAATGATGCAATATGAATCCCACAAGAGAAGAATAAAGATAAAGAATCCTGTTACATCCCCTAACATAGAATTCAGCTAAACTTGGTTGAAAGCATTAGATAAATCACTATATTCAAATCCTAATGGAAGACACCCCAATAAAATGACCAGTAATCCAGAAGACCCAGGATCAAATCCTGGCCACTACCACTACAGGACTTCCCTCAGCAGATTAGCAGCCAAAGTGCAAAATAAAAAAAATAGTCAGTAATTAGTATCTTTTAATAATAATAATAATAAAATAGTAACTTATTAATTACACAGGCCTACAAAATTTAAATTTCACACAAGCTGTTTTGGTTTTAATATTGGATTTTCCATAATTCAACTTCTCAGATTTCGAAAATAATATTCTTTTCTTTTTCTATAAGGTAACAATTTTTTAGAAATTGGGAAGAAAAAACTTACTTAGATCAAATTTACAACACATCTACCACAAATATAACAGAGTATGTTTGGATCATTTACACAACCTCTTGCTACTATAGCAACGAATAAGTAATATTGAAAAGAAAAAAATAATTTCAAAGTGCACACACAAACAACTCCCATCCAGAATGACATGTCATGCAGCCTGTTAACCATTTATATACTAGCAGTGTGTTTCTCATGGGTTCTAGAATGATCAATAAGACTGTCATGTCCTGATTGTCTATAGAAATCTATATAGCCAGTGGTTGTCAACATTTTAAACATAACAAAATGTGACCCAATTTCAAGGAAAATGTTTCATATATGTAAAAGTACATATAATGTTTTGTGAAAAATCTGTATGTGATGGAGAAAAATGGATATCATTTTCGGATTCAGCATACAGGAATTACCATATAATGTAAACATGTCAAGACATTAAAACCATCATAAGCCAGTGTAATTAGTCTTAGGTGAAAGTACAGGCCACTAGATACAACAATGATGGTTTCCCATGATAGTACGCATTCTAATACTCTAAGTACTTTCATTACTACCCCAAAATGCAAGCTTGCACTCCCAATTTTTGTTTTTCAAGTTACTGTAACTACTCTTAGGAAATAACAAATTTTAATTATTTCAGTTAAAACAAATATAAGAAATAGATAAAAATGCAAGTGATTGAAAATCAAACTGCTATCTATATTCTAACCAAAAAGATAAAAAGTCTTGAAATATACTTAAAACATTTGATAATCAATATAAGAGCGTAGATATTAAGCTTTCGAAATGACTAATCTCATTATTACTAATATCAATATTAGTACAAAGATACTTTCTTGCAGGGCCCAAGCAGCAACATAAACAGTTTTTTTATTTTGTTTTTCACAATTTTTCTGGTATAAAAATTAGCCATGTTGGTAATGCATGGTACAGACATGTTGCATTTGCCTGCAACTGTTGACCTTTTAAATTAATGTGTACATTTAGTTTTCACTTTTAGATTATCTCTTTCCACTGAAGGTTTTTTTTCTGTATTGCCACAAAGTTCAAGATTATGTGACATTACCAACATTATAGATCAGCTAACTTGGGGACCAGAGAGATTAAACATTATATGGGGAGAATAACTACTCAGATGAAGTATTTACTAAATTATACAGAGTATGACAAAACTTACCATACAGGTGCTACTGAAGAAATTATTACAAAGACAACTGAAATCAATTTAAGTATACTGTTTCTGAGTAAGATGTCAGAAATTAAACTTTTTTAAATCAAATAACTATATAGCCACTTTTGCCCTATCCTGTATATTCTTAAATTTTTCTAAAATTTCATTATTTGCAGTACATGAGAGTAAAACTATTTTGAATTTTCTATCTTTAAACTGAATGTACTTGGGTGCCACACCTTGTGCCAGAAAACTACATTAACATTAGTTGAGTAGGTACAGATCTTGGTAGAAGGATAATATACTAAGCCTGACATAAAACATTGTACTAGGTTTTGCAGAAGATGATGCAATCATTAGTTGTGATTACAGGAGGTCTTGAAAGAAGTTTAATACACTGCAACTTTAATAAACAGTAAAATCTGAAGGTGAAAAAAATCTATAAATACCACTTATTTAGAAATGCATTAAAAATGTAAAAATTTTTTGTACGAAAAACCTTTTTCAGTTTACACAGTCTATAAGATAGCTCAGTAATGTTCCCTGTACTGTAACGGGAAAAAACTCAAGGAGAAATTAGTATAAAAAATAAACAAATCACTTACTTGACTTTATAAGAACAAAATGTATTGTTTATTATGCTCCAAATTACCTACAAAAAGAAGAAAAGTACAAAGTAAGCATTTGATCAGTTATCTTTTTCAAGTTGGCATGAAATAAGTTTGAATATAAAGGAGTAGGAGTGTGAGAACCATATAATCTCTGCTTGGCCAGTTAATTAAGATGTACAAAAAAACATGTGCAGGATAACCTTAAAACAGTATCTATGTTACAAGAACTTATATGCAAAAGAGGAATGTAATATTAATGTCAATCACACTATATCTACAATACACAGTGCCAGTGAAGCCTTTCATTTAGTACCAAGGCTCATCAGGCTGGCTGGGATATGACAAACACAGCAGTGGTCAAGATGCTATTTACATCATCAATTACTTGAAAAAACAACTGTTTCGGTGTGAACTAAATTAAGGTGTTTATCACTTTTTTAAGTCATAGCACATCAGAAACAGGTTTATGATTTATAGTAATATCAAATTATTTATTTTATTATTCATTTTATTCATTTATTTTGCTTTAATTAATTATTCATCATTCAAAAGAATTGGTAAACCAGTAAGCTAGCCTTTTTTTTTATCTTGAAGCACACCCTATATAATAGAAAGATTATTACAAAATTGATTTTCAATATAACATGAAGAACATCACTGAAGACATACTTGGTGTTGCTATTACATCCTACCTCATGTGGAGTCTGTCATTGAAATAAATAGAAGACACGTTGAACATCTGAGGTGATTTATGTTGGTTTTACTTATTTTGTTATAATGAAGTAAAAGTTACTGTTACCTTGCAGTGCCACTTGTTGTTGTTTTTTGTTTAATAAATAAATTCTACATAGGGTTTCTATAAACTTGTCAATTACTAACTGGCAAAGCTGTAGACTGTTGGATTTCTTTGTGCCAACTCTTTACATTACAGTTGCAAGCCTTAACACAACTAGTTAATCAGAGTTATTGATACGTGCACCACCAAGTATGCTACAATTTATAAATAAATAAACATTCATCTTTAATTAAAGTGCCTTCAGTACTTCAATATTGCTTATTTTCATTTGCCACTTTTAACACTGCAAAAAAGGAATTATTACGTTAGTGTAGTTGTAGTTTCCAGAACATTCCTTTCACAACAGAAAATATTTTATAGTAACTCGGTTCTATAATTTGTAAAAATGCTAAACAAACCAGAATTTAAATGGTTTAATCAGATCTAACAATACTATACCTTGGGTAAACTTTGATATACAAAAACACTTAGCTATGCTCCCTTCTATTTCATTGTTTTACAAACACTACGTTTGGTGAAGGGGAAAATATCCATATCCTTCAGATGGTTAGAATACACATTTCTAGTAATGTGTTTACTATTTTATATTTTATTACAAATCATTTTTGCCACAACCAAAGTGCAAAGTTTTATTATTGCAACTTATATTAAAGCATATTACTTAAGTTTTTAAGATAAGAACAAGTTTTGATAAATTGTTTAAGCAGAGTATTCATAATGAATCTAAGTTTCAAATGGACAGCAACTGCCTGTTGTAGAAACCTATAAATGTAGAGGACTATGTCTCAAAAGTCTGCTGCCTTTCGTCTTCAGGACCTGAAGACAAAAGGTGGAAGACTTTTGAAACATCATCCTCTACATTTTTAAGTTTCTACAATAGGCAGTTGATGTCCATCTGAAACTTAGATTCAAGAACAAGTTACTTAATTTAAGAATACAATTTTTTTACTATATAGTGCTTAAAAGTTAAATAAATATACTGGAGCTATTCATACAAGTAAATGATATATATATTTGATTTTTGTTGGAAATATTTCAGATTACTTTCAAATGATAAGGAAAGATTGTGTTGAAATATTTATGAATTAGCAAAAACTTAGAAAATAACTTTTGAAAAGTTAGTTTATTCTTGAGTACTAGTAACGTATATTTACTACTATATAATGCTTTAAGTAATACTCAGTATAAACCTAGTACTAGTAGTGAAATTAGTATTACTATTAGTATTAATAGCATACTGTATTACTAATAAAAAATACTAGTATTAGTTATTACTACTACTAGTAGTAGTAGTAGTAGTAGTACTAGGGTTAAGACCACATACTGACACAGTAATAATATCCAAGTTATAAATTAGACATAAGTACGTAAGTGACATTTGCCTACTGTAATACGGTTTTAAATAAATTTTACAAGTTCTCTGTTTATTCATTATTCTATAAAACAAAATACAATTCTTACATCGTCTTGTTGCATGACTGTTGACTCTTATTAAACATTAACTTCCACTTGCGAAACAAGTCTTAGCAAACTACACTCGTTAAGTTATACGACAAGCATGTTCCTCGTACTTTCCACACATATACGCCCTCTCACCAGAAACGTATTGTTGTAAACTGTATTTCAATGTTGTAATTTAAATGTGTGCTAGAGGGAATTCATCATTGCCATAACGTTAAATTTAGAAAATTCGTGAAAGTTAAGAATGGAGATGGTTAGTGTAATATGTAGAAACACTGGTAATAAAGGGACGTGTTTACTTGGGTTGCGGCAGAATCCTCATTGGAGAAATTTGACCCTCCAGCAGCCCTCCCATCCGAGATATGGTCTTTTAATTCTTTAAATTGTGGCTCTCTCTGACATAAAGGTGTTATCTTTATGCCCCTAAAATTAACTATTGACCCTTATTCCCCTCAATGAAAAATCCTAGAAACACCACTGTAATAATATCAATATGAGTAACCAATAATGATGGAGTCAGTTCAGTACACGTAAGTTATTGGACTAAACAGCGCATTGGTGAGCATTGATTGATCAATTAAGTTAGTTCTGTGATTCAGTGAAAGTTATTCAGTTCATTGAGCAGTTAATGAGTAAGGAGTAAATCAGTGAGTGATTCAGATCAGTGTTACTAGTAAGAGTTATCGCGTCTATTCAGCAGTGGCGGATTTAGCTATTCTAGTTCCCTAGATGCAACCTCAAGTTTAGGTACCTATCGCTCGAACTACTCTTGACATAATAATTTAGATAATTCATAATCATCGTCATAAGTGGTGTGAATCAGTAAATAATGTTGTATTAGATATATATATATAATAATAATATAGGCTCAAACAAATTAAGAATAAATACATACCCCATATAAAAACTTCCCGACTTTTTTAACTCAATAATTTCTTCGTAGTTCATATTTCTAATTCCTTGTTTTATATGTTCAGAAGTAACAGAGATAATAAACGACCCTGAGATATTGTGTTTAGTAAGTAGTACTCCACTCTTTTTAGCACAGAGAATGAACTTTCACTCGTAGCATTGCTGATAGAAATAGTTAGAAAAATTCTCAGCACAATTTCTACGTTTGAAAATGTCGAATGCAATTCATTCTATAGTAAATTATACATGTCACTCGGGCAAGAAACATTTAATTCTTGGCAAAATTTATAAAAATGTACTTTTTCTTCTTTATGTAGCTCAGAGTCTATATCACTCATGTGTAAATTAGATAAAATTTTCAAACATTCATGTTTTTCTTTGTTATCTATTGTAAAATCAAAGATTATTTTAAAATGTTTAATAATTTCACTGTAACTTTCAATTCTTTTGTCAATTTCAGTAACTAGTCAATCACAAAGTACTAAGAAAACGCTAAAAATAAATCGGATTCTTCCTATTAACAATACTTCATTATTAGTATTTTCATCAAAGAATACTTCCAGTTTTTTGTT